AACACCAGACAGCTGTCATCTTGTAGATGTAGTGCCACGTGGTAGGGCAGTGCCCCCCAATTTTGATATAGTGTGGTGAAGAGCAATGGACTTCAGACCCCCCCCCCCCCCCCACTCTCTTCACTGTATGACAAATAGGTCGGGCCAAAATGGCTTAATGTTAACAGCATAAAGTCAAGCCATGGCATATTCAAATTGAAATGCGTTCATGTTTACTTGTTTAAAAACTCACATTCCTAACTAACACTTTGGCCTTGGTCCTTCTTCACAGCAGCACATAGGCCAGAGGGTTGTGTGCTGTGAGGAAGGGCCAATGCCCATAACGTTGCCGATTGCATAGTTTGCCTGTAAAGACTACGGTGGTACTGACGAATGTGTGGAGTTTTGTTATTTGTGCTTGTGCGCCACTGCCAATGGAGTATTGCAAAATGTGTGTACTGTATGTAAAAACAGAAATGCTGAGTGGAGGAAATATGGTACCCTGTAGCCAAGTGGGTAGCCGCAGTTTGTTTCTCAGACACGGATAACATTGGGCGCCACGGGGGCGAGATGTTAACTTCCTCGCCTGGTATACAGGAGGTCGTGGCTTCGATCCCGACCCTGACGTTTGGAGTTTGCGGTGTCTCTCTCTCTCCCCGTGGTCGCGCCGGATCTTCATCCGGGTCCTCCGGTTTTTCCCTTCATATTTAGAAACATGCGTTTAGAGTATTTGGCTGCGATACATTTCCACACGATAAGCCCCTTCGTTGATGTTTCATTTGTGACCAGGTTGCTTCTGAAAAAGACCTATATAGCTCAGTGGGCCGTACCTGCTAAAATATATATTTTTTATAGTTTACTTTATAACATCAGTGGCGAGGGATATCTCCCCTCCCCCCCCCACTGCACAACGACAGAGTAATTTCGAACTTCCACTTGTAAAAGGTGTTTGCACTGTCCACCGTATTCATATCTAAGGCAGAAACGAGTTTGAATTCCTGTTCACAAGAATGAACTACTTGAGGTATATAATTTGCACATAATTTCATTACACTGCTATTCTATTGTTAGCGCACAATTCAGTCAATGTATTGTGAGCGTTGGAGTTTATTTTAATAGATTAATAGTTACCGTGTGCTGTGTCGATGATGGCGGGTGATGTCAAAAGTAGGAGTTGATACAACTCTTCTGTTCCGTCAGTGACCAAATCACCCAGAATGCACTCGATCTCATCAAACCTGGGAAGCTAAGCAGGCTTGAGCTTGCACACTGGATGGGCGACGGCCATGCATAACTGTTGTTATAGGCTGCGTGTTGAACAGGGTCGTGCAGCAAAAGCAATCGTTTCCGTACGATGCATGTGTTGCCGTATTTTATGGCTTTTCACCTTCACCAAGCCACACTGCCCAGCATGGTAAAGTATGGTCAAGTAACTCCCTCCACGAAGCGCATGGCGTTGGGAGGGCCCCCTCTTTCAGCAGTGGATAAACAAAGGGCTGTACACGTGCATGACCGTGCGTGCGTGCACTCTTTCGTGTGGTAGCTAAGTCTTTGTAGTTGTTGGTGTCGTATGGCTTTGGCAAATGTTTGGTTCCGGTTTGTAACTTTGCGTGGTCGTCGATGGAAAGCACCGACCTTGAAGAGACTGTAAGATGAAAAAAACTGATTTGCTGCTGCGTTGGCAGTTGTGCACGAGCACAAATAACCAACGAAACTCATTCGTCAAGAACACTTCGGCTTTAAAAATAAAATAAAAAGTATGTTGTATGCGACATTTTGAGTAATGGCCCTTTGTAGGAAATTAATAAAGGGCCATTTCTGGAAACGTCACCTATTATATTCTTCATTTAAACACAATGCCACGAGTTTCTTTGTAGGATCTAAAAGTCGGCTCGGATTTTTCCTTTAAGCTATCAAATTTCGGCAGCTCGGGGTGAATGGGAACTGACTTCAGACCACCATAAACAGACATTGTCCGAGTTGGTCAGTCGGCATCATTTACCCGCGTAACAAAGTTTGTCGTACGGAGCGCAGTGAAGCCTCATTTCTCGCCCCAATTAAAACGAGCAACTCCGTGGTTTATGAACACGTCGGCTTTCGCGACCAATGTCATCCATAATAGAGGTCTTTTGGGTTAGATCGTTGAAAGTTCCGCCGCGCGTCTCGCCGATGGCCGGACCCGAGCTTTGAGGGCTGGCCGAGTGGCTGATGGCGGGAGAGAGGCAGTCGCCGAATGTGTTGGGTCTGATGTCAGGCGACGGGGTCAGGCGACGGGGTCAGGTGAGTGTCTCGACGACGGTGCTGGCCCCCGAGTTGTGTGCGCTGTTTCGGGGTAAGTGGAGCGGTGGTGGTGGTGTTGTGCTCGACGAACTACGCTATGAACCCGACGACGGCTGACCATCCGAGTTCAATTCCGGTCACGGCTGATGTGAGTGGCGAGGGATGTCCATTTTCTTAGGTTTTTTCGGTAAAGTCACGTAGGTAAAAAATTAAAATTAATAAAAGTAAAATAAAATAAAAATCACGACGTTTCGGAGGCAACACAAGCTTCCGTCTTCAGGTGGAACCGTCACAGCACGATAGCTGTATCAAGTGAGAGAAATTCCAAGAAAACAGTCCTCACTTGATACAGCTTGATACAGCTATCGTGCTGTGACGATTGTGACGATGCTGTGACGGTTCCACCTGAAGACGGAAGCTTGTGTTGCCTCCGAAACGTCGTGATTTTATTTTATTTTACTTTATTCATTTTATTTTTTTACCTACGTGACTTTACCGAAAAAACCTAAGAATATGAATCCTTGCAGTCACGAAAGCTTCATATCTAGAGGGATGTCAAATCGGAACTGGTCTTGGTCCCCTGAACCCAACACCCCCTCCCACGCACCACTTCACCAAACCACACTTACCAGCATGGTGAAGTATGATTAAGCAACTCCCCATCAAAATCTTAATTTAACTTGGAGGATACTCTTTGGTTCTTTCGGTAAAGTCATGTAGGTGAAAAATAAAAAAATAAGAAAAATAAAAATACTCGTAATTTTCACACCTGATGATGAGTGCTTGTGTTGCAATCGAAACATCGTGATTAAATTTAGTTATTTCAAAACAAATTATTCTTATTTTTTTATTTTTTCACCTACGTGACTTTACCGAAAGAACCAACGAGTATGGATCCTTGCAGTCACAAAAACTTCAAATCTAGAATCATCTTGGAGGAATCCGACGAGCGATAAAGCGTTTTTTTTCTTGCCCCCCATACATGTCCCGTAATCGCGTCCACGCGACGTGGGGAGGGTGACCTCCATCCAGCAGTGGATTGACACAGTTCTTTCTGACAGACCTGTTCTTCACCTGAGGACGGCTGCTTGCGTTGTGGCCGAAACGTCGTGAGAATTATTTTATTATGTTTAATTTTTATTATTTTATTACTTCCCTTCTACGTGACTTTACCGAAAGAACCAAGAAGACAGTTCAGTGCATTCCTATTTCGGAGAACAGTTGCGTGTCCGCCAATCGTTGAGACGCATCCTCCTCCACGTGCCTCTGAAACGCTTTGGTGAGATAACCTGGCGTCAACATTTTGGCGAACTCGAGTGGCGGGCGTCGAAGGTTTTTCGCGACGCTTCGGTGGCTCTGAAGTGACCCTCGTGGCGGTGACAACAGGGGGGGGGGGGGGGGGAGCAGCCTTACGATGTCATCACTGCCGGATTATACACTGGTCAACAAAAAAAAAACATGTTTTTTCTGGCCTGGACTTTTGCAGCTGTTTTAAACTAATTTCAGGGTGCTGATTCCAAATCTGATCTCGGATTTGCTCTATCACATCTCATTTTTATGCTATCGGCATACCCCATTTTCATTGATTTTACCCGAAATTAACTCCGTCACTTATGATTGCAAATTGTTGCGAGTCAGTGACTGCTTTAGTGTTAAAATATGGTGCTGTATTTTTAGGATAGTGTGTTTATTAATATCATTTTATGTAGATATCCACATTTATTTAATTTTTTCTTCTGCAGTTTTTTATTGAAAATGCAATATTTGATATCTCAAGAACCTGATGTGGTAGACAAAAACTGAGGCCAGATTTGGAATCAGCACCCCAAAATTACCTTAAACCCGTTGGAATACCTTATGCCAGAACAAGTGTGTTGACCAGTGTTATCCGAGTAGCACAAGTAGCTACACAAGCTACGGGCCCCGCACTTTCAAGGGCCCAGCGCTAAACGCTTTCAAGCTGTCAATTCCGGTTCAGTGATTCTGCACTTGCTCTATTACTATAGTACTATACCGCCTTCAACTTTTATGAACGACCGCGTGTTTAAGGTTAGCGATTTGTCGTATATTCTGACCGTATTGCAAATGAAAAAATACAATTTACTATGCAAGTTAAAAATGTGCGTTTTAATATTTACGTGTATTTTTTTTAAATGTAGGGTCCCTTTAAAACAACATATGCTACAGGCCCCGCACTAGGTTAAATCCGGCACTGGATGTCATCACTCTACAGGAGTTTGTTCTTACAAGAGTTTGTTCTACGACAAACCACCACCAGGAGAAGGAGTTCTAGATTTGAAGCTTTCGTGATTGCAAGGATTCATATTCTTAGGTTTTTTTTTGGTAAAGTCACGTAGGTAAAAATTAAAATTAATAAAAGTAAAATAAAAATAAAATATAAAAATCACGACGTTTCGGAGGCTGTATCAAGTATCAGCTATCGTGCTGTGACGGTCCCACCTGAAGACGGAAGCTTGTGTTGCCTCTGAAACGTCGTGATTTTTATTTTTTATTTATTTAATATTTTACTTTTATTACTTTTTATTTTTTACCTACGTGACTTTACCGAAAAAAACTAAGAATAAGAAGGAGTTTGTAAACAAAAACAATATTAAATATAAACACGACTCATCTGCAGGCAGGGAGGGAGGGAGGAGGAGAGGGAGGAGAGGGAGGGGATTGACCCGCCCCGCGCCTCCTAATCTCCTCCCCCTCGTACACTAGCCGGCTCGGGGAGATGAAGCCGACAGCCCCGGCAGTCAGATCTGGGACGGAGGGGAGCCCGCACGGCTGCCTCTCTCTCTCTGTCTGTGCAAAGTCGCTCGTGAACTCTCATAGAGCAGCCGTGAAGAATAGCGGCCGCGTCGGCGTTGTGTGCAAGCCTGTGCTGTGGTTAACATAGCGCGGCATAGGGAGAGGGGGGGGATTGTGAGAGGTGGAGCGAGCGAGCGAGAGAGGCTCAGTCAAAGTTGGACTTCAACTTTGGAGCGCGCGGCGGCGTTGGGGTGTACGGACTACTGTACGGGAGGTCACTTTGTATTAGTCGAGCATCGTCAAGCACGAGTGTGTTGTCCCCCATCTCCGAGGATTATAGCACGGTTGGCTAGCTACGTACGGTGCGACAGAAGTTCAACACGGTGCATGCATTCTGGTAGTTGGTGAAAGTGCCGTAGTTTTCATTGGAACATAAGTAGCAGAAGGAGGACCGTCAACATTGGGTCGACAATCAGCGGCGGTATAATTCCATATTTTTGGCAGCCGCTGTGTCATCATCAGCAGCAGTAGCAGCAGCAGCAGCACAGTCGTCGGCAGTACCGTCATCATCAGCAGCAGTATTTATAGTAGCAGTATCACAAGCAGCATCGGCATACGTTACCGTCGGCTTGCCACCCCAACGTGGGCTTTAAACCGCTTGTAAGCTACTCGAGTGCAAGGGCAGGCAGTGTTCTTACGTTACAGGCTACGTCAGCGATACGGCGTTTACTCTACAGTACATATAGACTGTATTGAAAGCGCGTGCTGCCGAGTGGACATGCCGGGCCGCCTTCACCATGGTCATGCACTGGAAGAAACGTCGCGAGTCGAAGCAGGAAGACTCCTCGGTGAGTTTGCGTCGGCGCTGGGAGAGACAAAGGCGGCCGGGCGTGGTGCTGCTGTCCACAGCAACCCCCCCCCCTCGTGCGCCTTAATGGGTGCTCGCTAACATTACAGTGCTTGCCCGAACAGTCTGCTCAAGGCTGATACGGAGGGGGTGGTGAGGGGGGGGGGTCCTTTGTGACTTCGTGTGGCACCGTGTTGTGTGTGGCACTTTGTACTCGGTGCTCGCTAACAGCACTTGCCCCAAAATTATGTTAAGGCTATACGGGGGAGCTTTACCTTTGTAACGTGTATCGGTGCCTATGTTTGTGGTAGTTGTGTGTTACTGTGAGGTGCTCGCTAACAGCACTTGCCCCAAACAGTCCGTTCAGGTGAGACGACAGAGAGAGAGAGGAACCCTTTGTCTCTCTGATGGGTAGGGCGTAATGGGGCACCGCTTCGGGCACTTCACTACGAACCCGGTAACTCGAGTTCGATCCCTCGCCCTAAGGTGACATCTCTGTGGCAAGTTGTATCTGAACCTGTCACAGTGCCCTTTCCCTGTGGGTTGACGGAGCCTTAAAAGAAACCCGCGGTGCTGTGATCAACGGTGTTGGGGGTGGGGGGAGACGGGATGGTAGCCGGGCGTGTTGACTCCGTGGTGGTGCTACACGCCATACCGCCACTCGCCACATGTGCTGTCGTGTCTGCCGTAATAGTATATGCTTGTCAACCCCTTATCAGTGTCTTCCTTATTACATACCAATTCAGACCTTATTGGTCACCCCGTGTCTTTATAAATCACAATGTTCATCCTAAAAAGTCTCATAACAAGGGAGAAACACAAACAAATAGACAAAAACATTTCTTTCCCGTATTGAAGCGGCGGTACGCAGTAATGGCCCTGAAATCTAAATTTCCCTGTACAAGAATACGGGTAAGCCGTATGGGTTGACAGGTAATATAATAGTTTCTTGCCAACAATCCCTGTCCCTATAGTTTGTTCTCGGGAGAGCCTGAATCTGGCCCAACGGGTCCTTAATCCGAACAGGGATCCTTGGTATTGATAGGGATAATTTTAGTTCTTGAATGAGGAGGAGGGTTTTTTAGTTTTGAAGTGCCGGGGGTTCTTGGTTACAACAGCCGTTGCCAGTTTGAACAGGCGTCCTCACTCTAAAACATGGGCCGCTTGGCCTGCAAGGGGGGTCCTCGAGTGAAGATTATGGTGGGAGGCTTAGGCTAACACAGCGAGTGGCTTAACTCCTAACAGTGAAACACGGTGGGGGGGGGGGGAGTCGGAGTGAAGGGCGTGGGTTGCGCAGGGTCGCTCCTTCAGCAAGACTTGGTGACTTACAGCAAGCACCTACCTAACAAAGAAGGACAAAGACTCCCCTCCCACCCCGTGTAGCCTTAACAGACTGTTGGGAAAAGTGCCGTTAGCGAGCACCTATGAAGACCGGAACGGTGCACGAGAGGGTGGGTGGCCAGCACCACGCCCGGCCGTTTTTGTCTCCCCAGTGGCGATGTTTACACACCGCACCAGGTACTCATTTGAGGCTGAGTCTTGGGGAGGCCCAGGACCGGCTCAGACAATCGTTACTGGTGTTGGCCGTGAGCGGGAATCTAACTCGGGGCGGGGGGGGGTGTCGCGCAGTGCACTAACTGCTACACGACCGCTCCCCACTTCCTAACAGTAAGTGCACACACTGGCACAATAGCAACAGTGCCTCCTCATCCTGTGGACTCTGGCCATAAGAGCAGTGATCCCGTCATGCCTCGCAAGTGAAGTGACATCACCACACCGCGCGTGTAATCCATTGTCCACCAACAGCTCAGGAAGAGTCATAAAAAATTAACCCGTAAAAACAAAGTTTTTCACTATAAATCCTTTATATGCGTGGCGGCTAGAGTCCTCTCGTCCTCTGGCTTGAGATGGCTGCCACCTATGGGTCAGATGATTGCCTGCCACCATTAAGCAATTGGTAATTAAATATAAAAAAAATTCCTAAAAAGTGTAAAGTTTTGGAATTTTTTTTCACGAAAATTAATTGTCACGCAGAACGAGTCTGTGTGCAAATGTCAGCTCGATTGGATCACGGGAAGTGGGTTAAAAAACGACCGAAAAATGTGCACGGTCGTAAGCGCGCAAGCAAGCAAGTGAACTTAATATATAGGATTTAAAAATTTATGCCATTTTATCTCAGACGGCAGCATAGGAACACGGGATGGTTGCACCGTAGAATGGGTTATCAGTGCACTATAGCCCCTAGGCAATGCCAAATTGTCCCTACAGTGATCCGAGAGGGCTTGTCTACATGAATCCCCAGAGGTACGAGGCAATAATTCCTGGACCGCACTGGTGAGTCCCAAAAACAGTGAAACTGGTATTGTACAATGGTCCCGCTGGTCTGCTGCTGTCAACATTAAAATAGCCTCAATTTTGACAACTCCTGAGTTTGCGGTTGTGTGTGCATTATACACGCAGTGTGGTCATGTGACATGATAAGCCAGGCATGATGGGGAGGACCGATGCCATGGCCGAACACCACTTGCTGTCGAGAAATCATCTCTGTGCATGCACTGTATTGTTACACTCGTACGTTTCCAGCCCACGCTCACTTTTCGGTCTGATAAGTCCCCTCGTCGTCGTTTGCAGAAAGTGTTTACGATGTGGTTTGATGTGGACTTTGTTAACAGGACAGTGGCGGGGGGGGGGGGAACCCGCACTCGACTGCTCAGTGATTTAACTCGATAAAGTGACCCAACACCCCCCGCCCGTGCCTCGAACCTAATGGGAAAATTCCAAAACGGAGTAACTTGAGAATGAACATAGCGCAATGTAAACAGCGGTCAGCTGTTGGGCTTCAGTCCGTCCACAGACTGTGCTGTGAGTGTTCTTGGGCTGCGTGTGTGCGATTGGTATGTGCCTGGTGAACAGATCCACTCAGAGGTATTCACACCACAGTGCTGGTTCACAGCTGAACTCACTGCACTTGAAAACCCCGTTTAAACACCATAGGCAGTTGAAACCTGGATTCGAACCCAGGGTCTTTCAGTGGTTGGTGGCTCATCGTCTGTGACCTGGCATAAACTTGACCTGGCATCAATTAACCTGAGACGCTCACCCAGCCTCGCTGTTGAGATGTTGGGGTTGGATCTCGATATCAGCTGCGTGCGATTAAACCGGGTACTCACATGTTGCAAGTTAAACTAAAAACTAATTTTTATTTTTTTATTTTACCAGGTAAGGCCCACTTAGATCTATAGCTCTTTTTTCAAAAGCGACCTGGCCAGAAACGAGAGCCCGATGAAGTGTGTTATTGTGTGGAAATGTCTAGCTGCCCAATACTCGAAATGCATATTTCTAAATGTGGAGGGAAAAACCGGATCACCCGGAGAAAAATCCCCGCGACCAGGGGGAGAGAGACACGCAAAATCCAAATATACAGCAGCGTCAGGGTCGCGATCAAACCCCCGACCTCCTGTATTCCAGGTGAGGGAGTTAACATCTTACCACCAAGTTAATGGTCTCAGCTCGGTCACCAATTAACTGCAGAAATGAACCGTTGTTGAAGGTGGCTTGGTTCAACTGTTATTACCACCGATGTGACGATGTCCGTGGTGGGAAATCGAACTAACAAGTATAACCCGTAAAAACTAAGTTTTTCACTAAATCCTTTATATGCGTGGCGACTAGAGTCCTCTCGTCCTCTGGCTTGAGATGGCTGCCACCTATGGGTCAGATGATTGCATGGCAGCGTTAAGCAATTGGTAATTAAATATAATATTTTTGTCCTAAAAAGTGTAAAATTTAGGATTTTTTTTCACGAACATTTATTGTCACGCACAACGAGTCTGTGTGGAAAATGTCAGCTCGATTGGATCACGGGAAGTGGATTAAAAAACGACCGAAAGATTTGCACGGTCCTAAGCAAGCAAGCAAGTGAACTAAATAGAAAGGATTTTAAAAAAACACCGGGTTCACAGTGCAGTTTGCTAACCCACGACTCCATCCCTGCCGATAAGATAATAATACACAGCCCTTTCTCGGTCAACTGTTGGATAGAGGCCTTCACGTGCCGTGTCGGTGGTCGTGGTGGTTAATTTGCCAGTGTTTCACTCATTGCGGGTTGGTGAAGGTGGGGGGCGGGGGCCTTAAAAAATACAGTACCACGATGGATTTTGCCAATTTCTTTTTCGCATCTGTGAACTAAAACGCTTCATAGCTCATCGGATTTCTCTGGGATAAATAAAGATTCTGATTTAACACTGGATGTAAGTTCACGTGCGGTGTTTACCTGGAACCTGAGACTGTTTACTGGGTGACTAGGTGACGTGATGTTGTCTGGGAGCTGCTTTAAAGGGGTAGACTTTGGAGGAGTCGGGAGGGGGGCTTTGTCCTGGCTCACCATTTATGGGGGGGGGGGGGTTACCTGCCTGGCCTCAGGTGCACACACGGTCTGCAGACACTCTACTACATTCATATAATTCCTTTCTTAAGCCCCCTTTCACACGCAAGGTGGTTCTGTTAAACCAAAACAAAGCAATGTCTGCTTACATCATCACTGTCGTTGACAGCTCTGCAAATAAGCTGAGCGTTTGACACTGCAACTCTCTTAAGGCTCAGGTGTGACATTGAAGTTTAACGTGTAACGATTGAATGAGATTGCACGACTGAAAAAAAATAAAACAAATAACCCACACCCAACTGTTATTACAATCAGAATCGCTATTTCGACTGGATGAATCCGATGAGTTATGAAGCTCTTTTATACAGATGTCCAGTATGGCCGGGAAGGGAACTCGGGTTGCCGAGTTAATCGCCCAGTGCGCTAACCATTGCACCATCGCTCTCCACCCTTCGACAAGTAAACAGTTGCTTTTTTTACAGATTGTGCCATTACGTTTTGTCATTAAAAGGATAAATTCTCCCACTGCATTCTAAGGATCCTTGAAATGCTGAGCGGCGTGCGTGTGGCAGTCGCTCTGATGCCGATCATGGCCCCCAACCAACACTCCTACTCCG